CCACAGTAAGCATCCTAAGGCAGACAGGATTGTGCAGACAGGAAACTAGAGGCCGCATCAGATAGAAAGGTATTCCTGAAGTGACGTCTTTGCTGCTTAAAACTCATGATGGGGGGCTGGAGAGATGACTCAGTGGTTAAGAGCACTGACTGCTCTTCCAGAGGACCTGGGTTCAATTCCCAGTACCCACATGGCAGCTCACAGCTGTCTGAAGATCCAGTTGCAGGGGATCTGACACCTTCACACCAATGCACATAAAATAAAGTTAAATAAACCATAAAAAATATTTAAAAAAAAAACAAAAACTCATGATGGTAGCTTGAGATGCGGCTTGATTGGAGGAGTGCTTGCCTCGTGTGCAGGAGGCCCTGTGTCTGATCTCCAGCATTACATATACTAGACACACCTGTAACCCCAGTCTTCAGAAGGTAAGGGCGGGAAGACCAACAGGACTTAGCCATCTTCAGGGACAGCGAGTTAGAGGGCTGTGTTAGAGTCTATCTTGAAATAAGTAAACAAGCAAATAATAAAGACGAATGAATTAAACTCAATAGGCTCACATTTCATGAAGATGTAGTTGGAGGCTCAGGGAGGCAGAGGAATTCACCCAAGCTTGGACAACCAATAGGAATAAAGAGATCCCAAGGTTGGACAACCAATAGGAATAAAGAGATTTGTGTACAGGTCAGTGAGCACCAAATGCTTCTGCTTTCATCCTCAGACCACATTGCCTCTCTCCTGGGCCCTGGCCTCTCTGCTGAGACACAAGAGCGAGGTGGGAGGGGCCAGAGACAGGAGGAGTGTGCTGCCTGCTGCTCTTTGGTCACAAGGGCAGCCTCTGAACAGCTAAGGACACTGCGGTGACCTCACTGCTCTGGTCTTCCCTCCCTCCTTCCTGAATTGAGACGTCAGCCTTCTGCCTCATTTCTTCCCATCCTGGACACCTGACATGGGAGGGCTCTCAGCAGAGGCCAAAGATTTTCCCTTGTGTCTCTGGAACATCCTTCATCATAAAGACAAAGACTGTGGGGTGCCGGACAAGCACAGTCTCACCACCCCCATCTCCACTCCTCTCCTGGCCCCTCTTCTCTGGCCTGCCCTCTGCCTCCCTCTCACCCCCTCCCCACTCTATACTCTCCCACCTCCTGCATGCTCTGAGATGAAAGAACCAATTACTCCTGCTAGCACCCCCACCTCTGAGCTGAGCTGCTTGCTGGTCCCCAGTCATCAGCAATCCCTACCAGCGCTGCCTAAGTGGTCCCAGAAAAGAGTGGCTAATTGGGGAAAGATTGCCTCCATCCTTCCGAGACCTGAGCACTGCAAACAGGGCTCTCCCAAGCTAAGCAAAGATTTTCACACTGAGGCATCCTACCACCAGAGAGAGCTGAGGGGTTACCTGTCACCCAGCCCTGTTGTTTCTTCCTTGACATTTAGGTCCAGATGCTGAGCACCTATGACACATTCACCTTCTCTAGTACCACAAGCAGCAGAGCCCCTGAGGGCATCCGATGAGTGTGTGTGTGTGTGTGTGTGTGTGTCTGTGTGTGTGTGTCTTATATTCTCTCACTTTGGCAGTTAGTGAGTGCTGAGCACTTGTTACACACTCAACATTGTGCTAGGCACTGGGGACACGGAGTGACTTAAATAGTCCACATGCTGCTCTCAGGGAGTTGGCATTCATCCTAATAAAGAAGGACAAACAGTCAAGTGGAGTCAAATGCTCTTGGGGATATATACATCAGAGTGGGTGGGATATGGGTGAAGGTGCAGTGCCGTTTTAGATAAGAGGAGATGGGGCAGGTCTTATTCTGGACAGCATGTGACCAATCTGCTTTCTTTATGCAAATGTCGTGTTCCAGGAAAGGCAGGTATTGGTGAAACCTTTGCCTAGTAAATCACATAGAGGAGGGATGTGTATTTATTGCTTGGCTCGTTGTTTTGGTTCTGATTTTTTTGAGCCAGTCAGACACAGCCCAGGCTAGCCCTGAACTGGATATGTAGAGGATAGCCTTGAAGTCCTGAATTCTCCTGCCACTGCTTCCCAACGCCTGAGATTGCAGGAATGTAACCACCATGCCCAGCTCTCAGTCACATGTTGACTCCAACAGGCGAGGTTTACCAGTTAGCCGGCAGCAAACCACTACAACTTCAGTTTTCTTGGAAGAAAAACGGATTTAATACTGCGTCTCCTCCCAGCTCGCTTACAGGGCTGTTGAGAGTCTCATGGAATGAGAGTTTAATTTTGTGGGGCTGCTACCTTATTACATCAAAGTAATGCACTTGCTGTTAGAACGGAGGCTGTGTGGGCGGAGTAAAGTCGCACCTCCAGGTAGACATTCTGTGGTAATCCAATTCCGAAGTGTGCGGCTGACTGAGATGAAGATCACATTAAGATGGTTTCCAAAAGCTGGGAGGGCAGGGATAGCATCTTCTTCTTAAGCCTTCTGAGGCTCGGAAGCACTTTGTGGTTCCCAGAGGCTGTGGTTAGTTGTCAGATGTAGCAGCATCCTGTCTAGGGCTGTCTGTTACCGTTTTAATTTCAGGCTATTGGTTAATCTCGAGACCCCAGTTTCCATTCTCCATGGTCCACCTGTGCTACGAGCGTGAAAATGAAGCCTTACCCTGTCAGTGTTCTTGGCCCCTGTTTGTTACATTGAGGAAAAGCCTCCATCTAAAGGTATGGGAAGTCTGACACCCCGGGGAGAAGCAACTGCTCACTTCGTGGATTTTCTTCCTCTGGATACTGCATTTTGTGGCAAAATGGAATGATTGCCACTTGGAGGGGAGTTTATTTCACTCAAATAATAGCACTGAATTGCAAGGTTTACAGCACGTATCTCCAGGAGAGTGCGCGACAGCAATCAGATACTTGCCTGATTCCTGCCCCCTTGGGAGCCGCTGCAGGGGCCGTCACAGCTCAGCTATGAGAAAAGATGACAGGGCCGATAGAGAGTGTGGCTTAGAAACTACTTTCTGACACTGTTTGTGGAGAACAAGGCTATTGCCAGGGTGGGCGGTGGCAGGATGGAAGAGCAGTGGCAAAGTTGTCTTCGCCAGACATTTCAAAACCTCAAAACACAGGTTTTTCTTTCTAGAGAGATAAGTATGGATTTGTCAACCAGAATGCTTAACTCTGGTCGGCTCAGGGCAAATTAGAGACACTGCCTTTGCCAATATTTCTAATACAGGATAGGAGATCTTATTTTAGAAAGGAGAAGAAGAGAGATAGAGATAGGAGCCTAGAAGGAAGAGAGGAGGCTGATGAGAGAGAGGGGTGCTGTGGTGTCCCTCTGGTCCTGAGGGGCCTCAGCTCAGCATCCGGTCTGCCATCATCACAGATATGGACACTGTTCTCTCCTTAGGGTTGAGAATGCAGAGTGCAGAGAGTTGAGCCACCTTTTCCAGTTCATATGGCCGGGAAGTGGCAATGAAATTTTATCTGTTTAACTCAGGGCCAGAATCAAAGTGAAGTTTCAAGTCGACCTCCCTATGGGGTTTTGTCAGGGGCAAAGCACTTGGCTGCTCTTCCTCCTGCTTAAGGGGCCTAGGAATCATTACACTGGGCTTAGAACTCCAGTTCCAATGTCCTTTTCTGTTGATAAATTTGGTTTCTAAATAAATAATTATCCTGTCCATTCCTGCCTGTATCCTGGATTCCTGGCTGATTGCTCCCTTCCCCCACTGACATCTTCCCACGTTTGCCTAACTCTTTCTTTTTACCCTTCACACACTAATTCAGCACACACATACACACACATGCGTGCGCACACACACCCCACTCACCTTCCCCCCACACACCCATACACAAAATAAAATTAGAAGCACACCCAACTCTCAAGGTATTTAAGGAATGGAGATTTTCAGTCAGTACGGCCCAGACTGAGCCCTTTGGGTCCCCTCCATCCCGAGCCTGTGTGAGAAGCAGGCAGAGCTTGTGCAAGGGGGCAGGCAGCTCGTGACTCAGAGCTGGCCTGGCAGGAAAAAGATCTCTTGCACTTCCTCGTGTCTGTCCTGGGCCATCAGATTCTCAGGAGCTACCACCTGGTATGCCGTCCTTCCTCTCATATATAAGATCCTTTTAGAACATGAAAAGATTTCCTGGCCCCTTTTTTATTTTTATGTATGCTGATAAAATACAGAGAAAACAGTGTCTGATGATTCAAAAATAGAGGCTAAGCCGATCGGCATATGGCCTTCGCTTCAAAGGACTGCTCGTTTTAATCAACCAGTTGAGACACCAATAAGCATTTTTTTTAATGTTTGCTTGCACACAGAGAAGTGGAGAAGGCAGCAGTGGGAGCCATGGCAGTTTGGGAAACTGAGGCTAGTAAAAGCATGGATATTCTTGCAGTGTTTCATGGTCTTAGACTCCCCCTACATGCATGAATGCACACACACACACACACACACACACACACACACACACACCATACACTAGAGTCACCACCCCCTTGCTGTCTTATAGCCCACACATGAGAATAGGTATGAGAAGGAGATAGATAGGGGCAGGAGAAGCTCAGGTTCCAGTTGGTGTCTGGATGTAACCCTGTTGTCCTCCCCTCTCCCAAATCAAAGCTGCCCCCCCCCCCGGTCCCCAGGTGGTGCTGAACTGGGCAGAGGCTGAAAACTAGAACCAGGTTCCAATCCAGGCCCCACCACTCACCTGCTGCATGACCTTGGGTGTGTGACTTAGCATCACCTTGTTGGCCCTAGAATGGGGCTCAGCAAGCTTCAGGGATCTTCCTGGAGGATTCATGCAGCTGTCATGTCATGGGTTCAGTACAGTGGCTGTTACTTAGGAAAGGGCCAATCTGTAGTGTCAGTGATGATGGTCTAAGACACAAACAGTCTTCATCCCAAGTAGGCTCCACAGTTACTGTCATTCAATCCTCTATTCTACAGAAGACCCTGGAATGTAGGCTCACCCAGTAAACAGTAAATGGTGGATATCAACACCCAGGGAGCCTGACCCTCAGTTCACAGACCTTCTGAGATAATGCTGATTTTCATGGGTGCTGCCCTGGTAAGCTCAGCTTCCAACAACCCACATCCCCTCACTCCCCAATATACACACAAGGTTTCCTTGGTCCTAGCCGACAGCAGGGAGGGGTCATAGACAGGAAGAGGGGAGGAGGGGAGGTCAGGGTATGGCTGGAGCTTCTGCATCAGGGCTGAATCCCCACCTCCCAGTTGGAACTGGGGTTGCGGTAAGGAAAGGCGACACAACCCGCCTTGGGGGAGCCGAGAAGGGCGGGGATGTGGGGGGCAAGTCCTCAGTGCTGAGCCAGTGGCCAGAGCACCGCCCCCAGGAGCGGAGGGAGGGGTGGCGGAGCAGAGGGGTGCCCAGCTGCCATCCCCGCCGCCTCCAGGCCCCCACTCTCTGGCGCCCAAGTAGGAGGGCGGCAGCTACCCGTTTCCTCCTCCCCACACCCCCGCTACCTGCCCAGTCCCCGAAGCGAAGCGTGAGAAGGCTGCGAGCCAGACGGGCGAGCCCACAACTTTGCAGCCTCGGGGAAAACCAGGGCCGGCGTCTGGGGCTCCTCCTGTCGCGATCCGAGCTCGGTGAGTTCGTTCCCCAGTCCTCTGCGGCGCTGCGGCCGCTTCGGGGGGCGGCTGCCCGGGCGTCCAAGAGGCAGTGGCGGAGGAACCGGTGGGTGCACGCGCTGCCTGGGTCCGCAGGGCTCCGGTGCCGCCCTCAGAGGCCGGTGGGGCTGGTGCCGGTGCTGAGCGGACAGCTCCCCACACTTCCTGCAGCCAGGCACTCTATGCGGGCCTTAACGGGACTCAGGGCCCCGGCTGCAGCTGCCCACCCGGCGCCCCGCACTCCCCCAGTCCCTGTCCTTCGCCTTCCCAGAGCAGCGGCGCATCTGGAGGCTGCTCCCGCGCCCCCCTGGCGACTGGCGCCGGGAAGACACTTGCTTCCCTCTCCGGATCCCGGCACCTAGGGCTCTGTTAAGTGGGCAGCGCCCCCGTGGCCTCCGGGAGTGGATAGCTATGGGGGCCCTGAGTCCCCAGCGATCACCCTCAGTCATGCCCTGAACTGCGCCCCAGCTGTGCAGAGAGACTGCAGGTCCCCAGAACGGTAAGCACAGTCACCTGCAAAGAAGATTTCAAGGTGACCAATGTCTCAGCCCGGATGGACGGTACAGCTTGAACCCAGACCCCGTGGCGTCCATCCATCCTGGGTGCAACCACCTTCCCAGAACTTTTCTCGTGCCTCGTTCTGGTCGATTACTTAGATCACTGGAAAGTTCTTCTCGATACACAGAAGCTGTTTCCCCGTGGTACTCGAAGTTGGGCAGGGGCTCCGGCTGTAGGAGGTGAGGCTGCATGGCTCTGCGTAGGGTTGTCATCCCAGGAAAAGCTGCCACGCATCCACTAGTCCACCCAGGACGGGCTTCTTGGCTTCCGAAAGGGTTTCGCCGCCTTGGGGATTGTTTGGGTTTCTCCCGCCAGGAAAGCGAAAGGCGGGTGCGAATGGGGGATTTCAATTTCATTGCCTCAAAGGAAAACACTCTTTGCAAAGATTTTATAGAAACAGTCAGGGCAACCAGCGGCTGGAAAATGAACCGATCAGGACCCGCTAGCACAAGTCCTCTAGCTATACCTCCACCCTACCCAGCCCCTGAACAATATCGATTGTTTAATTGATTTTTAAAAGAAAAAAAGCCAGGTGGCAGGGGATGGGTATACACACACAAACCCAGACGCACACAGATAACACATAAAGTCGCACACAAGAGAACTCACACCATGGTCCACAGCACAACTCCTTCCAGAAAGCCTTGGGTAAGCTGTGAGGTCACCGAACTTTGCTCAAGATAGGAGTGGGGGGAGGGGTGAACCAGGATTTCCAAGAGTCGAACCGGTCTCTCCACCCCCACTAGATCCTTCTCTTCCTTCTAGAGAAGCCTCAGTCAGAGATCCCAAAAGTGGGTGGCTTCCACTACTGTGATACTGTAGCTCTTCCACCCCTCGGCTCCTAAGCCCCACCCCTCCCCCACACGCAATCACTCCAGAGGGCAACCAGGCCCTATCCCTCCTCTGCCTGACCTCCATGACCCCAAGGCAACAGGGACTCATCCGAAGTAGGTCTGGCCAGAGGCAGGCGGTTGTAGTCTCTGGGTCTCTAACCCGCTTGGTCCCAAATTAGGGAAACCAGAAAGGTTGATCCGAGGGGCAGAGTTTGAGAGATTTGTGTACAGCCCATCAATCCTTTGAGCAAGGAGAAGAGCACCAGGTGACTCTGGACAACACTGTAAGGCTTTCTCTCTCCTTGCACCCCATAGGAATGTAACCGAGGAGGATGCTGGCCCTGCGGCTGCTCAACGTGGTGGCCCCCGCCTACTTCCTTTGCATTTCCCTGGTGACCTTCGTCCTGCAGATCTTCCTCTTCCTGCCCAGCATGCGTGAGGACCCCACAGCCACCCCGCTCTTCTCACCCGCCTTGCTTCACGGGGCACTCTTCCTGTTCCTCTCAGCCAATGCCTTGGGCAATTACGTCCTGGTCATCCAGAATTCCCCAGACGACTTGGGCACCTGCCAGGGAACCTCATCCCAGCGACCTCAGTGCCCACCACCCAGCACCCATTTCTGCCGAGTGTGCTCCCGAGTCACCCTGAGGCATGACCATCACTGTTTCTTCACCGGCAACTGCATTGGCAGCAGGAACATGCGCAACTTCATCCTTTTCTGCCTCTACACGTCGCTGGCCTGTCTTTACTCCATGGTGGCCGGCGTGGCCTACATCTCAGCTGTCCTCTCCATCTCCTTTGCCCACCCCCTGGCCTTCCTCACGCTCCTGCCCACTTCGATCAGCCAGTTCTTCTCCGGTGAGTGGGCCTTGGCTGGTCTAGCAAATGAGGCCTCCTAGCTCAACCCCAAGTTTTTCAAATAAAAGCACAGGGTATTCAGCTCCAGGTCTCAGATAAACAGTCGTTTGGTATGATTATGGCCCAGTATTTCAGGAGGCAATGCTAAGAGAACAGATTGTAATCTGTCAGAGATTCAGATTAACTGGACATGCTCTATTTCCCCTGACCCTTCTCATCTTTCATACTATATGTGACTCAAAAAAATTATGCCAACCAAGCTGTTACGCCTCTCAGGCCAGACAACTTTCCTTCAGAGCTCATGCTATGTTCCCCATTGGCCTGCCCTGGCCCCCGCCCCCCGTGTCCTGATAACATATCCCTTCAGCAGTCAACCATGGTGAATCTAAACTTGACTTCAGGGTGTGCTCAGCAGAAGGCTAATCTCCAATCTCCAACCTCCAACCTCCAGCCTCCCATCCCCTGAGTTGGACCCCATCAGGTTCTTCCGCAGTTGACAGGTATCTCAGAGCCACCTCCCTGGCTGCAAGTCCACACTCTAGAGATCCAGTCTGGTGAGAGATCTGACCCTCTGGAAGGCTCTGACACCTGCTGGAGCCAGGCACAGGGTGCTCATACGGGTACCATGATAAGGGCTGTGGTTTGAATAGTACGTCTCAAGGAACATCCCATGATACCTGGCCCTGGGAGACTCTGTTCCTGGTGGCCATTCTATTTTGCCTGGCCTTGGCATCTGTCCCTGCTTCATTTCCTTCCACTCTTTCCTTGCTTTGAACTTTGATTCCCCAGCCATTAGTAGTGTGCACACAAGATATGTGTCTGGTGTTCTTAGATCCATTTCTCAGACAAAGAGACTGAGTCTTAGCTGGGACTAAATGACCTGCCTAGTAGTGGCTTACTTCCCTGGAGTAACTATCTCTGGCTTTTAGCCAGGTGGTTAATCCAGTGCTCTTCCTCAGTTCCCATATTCCCAAACACTGTTGCTTGACCTTCGAGTGTCAAAGAAAAACAACTATTTCTACAGAGAACTTGACTGTCCTGATGCACCTGGACTGGACTGAACTGAACCGAACTGGACTAGACAGACTGGACTGGACATTTGAAAAAAAAAATTGGCTGTACCCTAGGGGAGCCCTCATTTCATTCTCTGTTGTATCTATACCCCAGCTCTTCCCAGACATAGAACTATCATGCCATTTGGCAGTAGGAACACAGAGGCTCAGGGAGGACCAGCCATGGGAAATGTCTGGAGGGCTGGTGGTGAAGCTGGGCCCAGAACTTGGAGCTCTGGGACCTTCTGGATCTTGGCGCTGGCATAGGAGGCTGCCAGGACCGAAATAAGCAGGATGGGGGAGGGCAGGTGGGTGGGCTGGGGGTGGAGTGTGAGAGCAGGCAGGTGGAGTGTTGAGGAGAGCCAGAGAACCTGATTACACATCTCTTCCCAAGTCGTCTCACCAACCACAAAAAAGGGTGGTTCCAGAAGGAGGACCTTGAAATGGTTTGATTTAAGTCTGGCGTGAGGCCCGTCCATATGTGCTAGGCTTGGGAAATATGGGAGAAAGGAAGCCTCTTGCCTTGATCTGATAGGAGAAAAGAGGCAGCCCATGCCCACCTCAGTGCCCAGGCATCTGTTCTGGCTTCAGAATGAGTCTCGCCATCCTCCACCATGTCTACTAGGAAAGGAATTCAAGGCTTCTCATCACCAGATCCATCTCCCCTTCCTCCCTTACCGACCCTTCCCATCTTTCCATGGCCCTTTCTACCTGCATACACCCCCTATTCATCTTCTTCCCTTACCCTTCCCATCCTTCGCTGGTTCTCTCCACATACATACACACCCTGTTCATCTTCCTCCCTTACTAACTCTTCCCACCTTTCCCTGGTTCTCTCCACATACATACACCCCCCTCTTCAGCTTCCTCCTTTGAGACTTTCCTTACCCAGTTCCTGGTCCAAATGGTCCAGAGCAAACCCTCTTACCTCTTAGGAGAACAGGTGGACAAGAGGGTATACCAAGGCAGTTGCTTAATAGAAACCCCTGAGGTCAAGATCTGCCACTAGTACCTGAGAGTGTTGTAAGTGGGGCTCTGAAAGCCCCCCCACCTTTATGTGGGGGGGTCTAAAAGCGGAACTTCCAAAACTGCAGATGCCACTAAACTCCAGGCCCTCTGCTAATGCCAGGGAGAAGGTCAGTTGAGGAAGTTTGATAAGCGTTCCTTCCTTTTGGCTTTGTGTCATTTGTGTGAGCCCCCTTCTTAGCTGGAGAATGGAGATGACACCATTTGGCGTGTACCATGGCATTTGGGTTAGTGTCAGTTGGTAGATGCCGCTAGAAGACCCAGTAGGAGAAGAAGGTGGCTAGACCTTGTTGAGTACCTATTCTGAGTCCCACTGGATGTGTCTCGCTGCATCCAATCCTTAGCACAAGTCTGGGAGACAACTTTTTGTCTTTTCCCAAGGCTAGGGAGCCAAAGGCTCCACCAGGTTAAGCTGTTTCTGAGCCATGCAGCTTTGGATTCTGGGTTCGTTCTTTTCTACTCTGCCACCCTGCCTGTCTAGTCTTGCTTCCTTGTTGAATCGGCCTCTTTGGGAGGAGGGGTACTGCCTGTACCCAAATCTATTACGGAATATGCTGGGGGATGGTTCGGCAGAAGTGTTAGAGATGGCTGTGGGGGGAGGGCAAGGACAAAGGAAAGGAGATGACGTAATCTTTCAGACCCCTTAAGGAAGTTTTGTGAGTTTTCTGAAAGAGGAACTATTATTACATAGTTTAGAGCTGCTGAAGCAGCCAGGCCAGGTAACTTCAAACACTTGGAAAGGAAGAAAGCAGGTCCCCAGAATAGCCTTTTGTAGATGCTGCATGGGGCCAGCAAAAGGCCGAAAAGTCTTTGCCTCATGCCTTGATTTAGAAACCTGTGGGAAACGGTTTCCATCTGCCTGGCTTGTTCCTGGAGCCCAGCTGCAAGGCAGACCTGAGCTCGATAGTTCTGAGGCGCTTACATCCTGGCTTGAGGGCTAGCTCACACATCAGTTTCCCTCAAGCTGGAAGGGCGCCATGTCCCCAGGAGTCTCTGTCCTGCACATGGCTGCCCGAGCTAATTTGTACTGACAAGGAAAAAGTGGGTTACAGGATGACCCAGACCATTTGAGTCTGTCTCTTTGATATACCCCAACAAGGGTGGAGGGGTTTCTCGAGATGCCAACTGGAGCAAGATTTCTGTCCTCTGGGCTTCTGGACCTGCTTGTTTCTAACTTTGCAAAGAATTTCCTGCTACCCAAGCTCCTAGGGTTGAGGGAGAGGCTTCATATGAGCAAGCTAGCAAATCGATTCATCTTGGCTGCAGAATCCACCATGGATCAGACTAACAGGTATTGAAGCCTACTTCTCAGGACTCCAGAAACTGGAGCCTGGGAAGAAGTAGGCTGGGGCAAAGAGGTGCTGGGGAAGGGGAGACCATAGAGATATATGGATTGTATAGTGACATCCTTGGAGCAGGCACCCCAGCCTCACTGGAGGAAGTGGTGGTGGGGTTGCCCAGCCGAGAGATAAAGGCCTTTGAGTTCTAGTCTCAGCCCACTGCTCTTGACTGGAAGGCATGTCAAGGTAGATGAATTTACGACAGCTAACAAAGTTGCAGCCCAGACAGGACTCCAAACCCTGGCAAGATGGGGGAAGGCTGGAGGGTCTGATTCTCCTCCTCTGAGCCCTGATACTCAGCACTGGGTGTAAGCCACAACGCAGGCAACTCCAAAACCCCTGCAATCCTGGAAACCTTATTATAGCCATTTTGCAGATGAGCAACCTACAACTCAGAGAGGTTAAGAATCCTGTGCGATTCCACAGGGTTGGGAGATTCAAACCCCAGCATGGACCAATCTTCCCACCTCAGACTCCAAGGGCACATGAGATCGACTAGTGGACTTTTAAAAAACAGTCCAGGAAGGGCTGGAGAGATGGCTCAGCCGTTAAAGGCTAGGCTCACAACCAAAAACATAAGAGTTCGGTTCCCAGCACCCATGGCTGTCTCTCCAGCCATTAAAAAAAAAAAGAAGAAGAAAAGAAAGAAAAAGAAAGAAAAAAGTCCAAAATGCTGGGTTTGGAAGGTGTAGAGCGGGCGCTGTCCCGCTGTCAGGGTGCTGAACTGATGGCCTCGGGGCCTCTGTAGAGCCTTAGCCCGCAGACGTGACTGTCAGGACAGCTTTGACTGAGTGTTGCAGTGACTCCTTTTGTTAACGTTAATGACTAACTTGTTCTCTAAGTCGGCTCTGTGTGCTGCCCTTGAAGCTGAGCTCGTGACATGAGCTCGTGACAGGGTCCTGTCCTCCATCATGCTGTCGCCTTCTCAGATCCTCCCAGACAGTGCTCCCAGCCTCATCCGGAGAACTGACTGCAGTCTAGACAGCTGCCCAGGTGCCAGCTCCCTCTTTAAGGTCCTAAGTTCTCTCCTCTTTCCTCATGTGAATCCCCCCCCCACACCCCGCTTCCAATCCAGAAAGTGAAATGGGGGAGCATTTCTGCCTCTGGGGAAATGTGCAGTCTAGACTGGACCAGAAATGCTGAGGGCCCGTTTCTCTGAGCTCACCTAGCTTGTTCTCCATCTCCCTAGGCCCCAGGTTCTTCCCCTCTCCTCAGGAGCCGTCAGCATTAAGGAAAACTTGGGGCAAGGAACTCAGCCACCGTCTCCCAGGCTGCAGAGCTGAGATTGCTACAAATCTCAACTTCCAGCTCGTGAGCCTTTCTCCTCGCCTCGCCGCGGAAAGCGCCAGCGCGGAGGCCTGGGTACGTGGCCTGGGTGTAAAGCGGTCTGGTGTCTCCCTTCCCCCCGCAGGAGCTGTCCTCGGTTCTGACATGTTCGTCATCCTCATGCTCTACCTCTGGTTTGCTGTCGGCCTGGCCTGTGCCGGCTTCTGCTGCCACCAGCTGCTGCTGATCCTCCGGGGGCAGACCCGCTACCAGGTTCGAAAGGGGGTGGCGGTGAGAGCCAGGCCCTGGCGCAAGAACTTACAGGAGGTCTTCGGAAAGAGGTGGCTGCTGGGCTTGCTGGTCCCCATGTTCAATGTCGGGACTGAAAGCTCCAAGCAGCAGGACAAATAGCTGGCAAGTACCATTGCCGTTTCTCCGTCTCAGTTCAGTCTGAACGTAAGACCACAGCACCCCTGTCTCCACCTGTGACACACCACACCCTCCCCTAGGAAGGGCCTCATATCCATCCTAGACATTCAACACTCAGAGGATTCATATAAAGGTGCATTCTGACATGGAGGGGAAATGACCACCTGGGCATCACTAGGCTGCTCACAACCCAACCAGGGGGGTAGCTGCTAATCTATGAGGGTGTTTCTGCTTCAAGTTATCTTCTGGGAAGCCCTTCCCCCATCCCCTGCCTGGCCCATCCGCTGTCACGTCTCAGGTGTCACCACTTCTGTTAAAGGCCTTCTCCACGTCTTGATAGCGGAGACTCCATTCTTGATGCTGGTAGGAGACTCCCCAGGACCTGGAGGCTGGTAAATGGTACAGTTAGCACGCATGGATGGCAGTCCAGTAAGCTTTGCCAGCTGCTAGTGGAAATGGGAAGAGGTGTGGATGTACACTCATCCTCTAGAAGGGATAGCCCCAGCGTGTGCACTGGCTGCTCAGCCCACGTATAAGGCCTTTCCCCTAGACATAACAGTCAATAGCCTGGCATTTTTTAATGCTGCTCCCTGCCCCGCCTCCTCCAGCTGGCCACTCCTGTCCAGCCCAGGATTTAACTGGATACTTCTTTTCTCTGGAATTCCTCTGGCATTTGAGCTCCAGCCTCTAGATTTTTGCTAGATATTGGGAAGGGAAGAAGGGAGAGAGAAAGGGGAGTTACCCATAAGTAATAAGGAAAACATATTTCTACATAGCCTTATATAACCGTGTGTGTGTGTGTGTGTGTGTGTGTGTGTGTGTGTTTAAGAGGGGGTGGGGGTGAGGAGTGTTGTTATGAACACAGAGGAAGAGTAAGTATTGGAGGGGAAGGATGGAGGGATAAATGGGTTGACTCTCTTGCAACCAAAGCCATCTAGTGTTTTGAATACTACCTGTAGTATTCAAACTGACCTTTGGAGGTATTTTAACGGGATCTAGGCAGTTGTCTGCCAGGAGTGCTATGAAAGAGATTTTTGTTCTTGTTCTATGTGAGTTTAGAGGTTCCTTGACATTCCTGACTCTATTGTCCTCTGCTGCTGGGCCCAAGGGCAAGCGCTTTAGAGACACCTGGGAGTCACAGGCTTTCATGAGACGGATTGGGGGTGGGGGGTGAGCATGGGAAGAGTCTGAAAACCAGAGCACAGACTTTCTGCTCCCAGCCCAGCCATCCTGGAGACTTCCCCATGTTAGCAGTCACTGAGAAGGGCTACACTAGAGACGCTAGAGGACAGGGAGGTGTAACTGCGTTAGGGTCAGGTGGGGGCAGTCGTAGGGAGAAAAAAAGCCTGAAACCAGCCCTGAGGGGTTAGTGGGAATGGCGGAGTATGGGGGTGCAATTGCCAGTCCATTCTTGTCAGTCTGACTAGCTCTAGATGGGGGTGCTGACTTGAATTCTGAAACCTAGAGGACCAGACAGACCCCTGGGCATATGAAGGAGTGGGAGCCACAGAAAAACGCTCTCCAGAGTTGGTCTCAAGGCCAATCCAACATTCATACAGGCGTTGAGGCTGAAGCCCACAGCCGTCAGTGTCCAGTGGATGGCCCCAGCGACCCCCGCCATCGCTCTATAAGACTGAATTCTTGAACAGAGCTTAAGAGGAGTTTAGGCAGGCCCTACTTTGGCGCCCTCCAGAGGGCTAATGGAGTAACGTCTCTCCTGCTCACTCCCTTCCTCCAGTGTTCATCCTTTTGAGTCTCCCATGGGTTCATCTTGCCTGCGGTTATCAAGCACCAGCTGCGGGCTGAGTCTCGGTCACTCACAATCTAGATTCCCCCCATCAAGGGCAGTTCATTCCTACAATTCCACTCTGCTGCCTTGGCAGCTGTTGAAGTCGGCCCCTTGGAGGGAAAATAAGCGGCAGAATTGAAGGGGAGTCCAGACTTCCTCCACTAGAGCTGATTTCACACACAATCCTGGCCACCCGTTAGCGGCATGGGGAAACAAGGGGTGGGAGAGGCCTGGCCAGCTCAGGCCTTGGAGCTCTCTTGACCCTAGAGGTCAAACTTGAAAGCCAGGCCTGCATTGTCCAGGCTCAGCATTGTGAAGTCTGACATCCCAGAATGGACAAAGGAGAACTTCAGGAGGCCAGCTCCTAAATGCTGAGCAGTGAGGGGTGGCCAGGGGGAATGTGCCAGGTATGGTACATGGGTAGACTTGTGTACATGGCCCTCTGTTTTTAATGAAGAGTATCAATAAAATTTGTGGTTTTCAACTGTATTTAATTAGATCGTCTGGTTGGTGGCAGGGTTGCAGGAATGGCATGTGCTGATGCTGATTTACAATGATTAAGAATACTTCTGGGGCCTGGAAAGATGGCTCAGTGGTTAAGAGCACTGGCTGCTCTTCCAGAGGACCCGGGTTCAATTCCCAGCGCCCACATGGCAGCTCATAGCTGTCTGTAACTCCGGGTACAAGGGATCTGACACCTTCACACCAATGCACACAGAATAAAATTTTTTTAAAAAAGAATATTTCTGTCCAAGTGAGTAAGGAACTATAGTAAGTTTCCCTGAACAATGCACTCTGGTACCCCTGTTTCTCCCTAGAGACCCCGGATTCCCTGAACAATCTGGCACTAATCCAGGACTCAGCTTTCCCTCCTTCTCCACACACCCAAGTCTATTGTGACCATCCAGTGGGGCAGTAGTGTGACTCTCCACCTTGGCGGGAGGTAGGCCTACGGCACTGGGGTCTGTGAATCACAAGAGATCATGGATGGAAGATGTCATCTGAGAATTTTCCTCTCCCTCCTCCTTGGTACAGAGGAGTGGGCAGGGAAGAGGATGGAGGCCGTCTTCTTCTTCATCTCAGCTAGCAGGCTAGTTGAGGACAAGCCACGGCCTCCTGATCTCTTGGGCTGCCAGCACTGGGGGAAGCCAGGAGGGTGCTGGGTCTGCAGGGTGTGAGCCTCTGAAACATCCTAAAGACACACAGACCTGGACCAATGGGCCCAAGGGGCAAATGTTGACTCTGTGTGGCCCATCAAAGCCCAGACCAACACATAGCCAGCAGGCAAACCCTGACAGACCAGGCAGCCCATTTTCAGCATGTTCTAGAGATCAGGGTCTGTCCATCCCATAGGCCAACACCACACCTGCCCTTTTCAACCCTGTACCCGTGATGCCTAGCTGGGATGAGGCTCAACAATTACTACTGAGTGCCTGCTCCCCATCACTTATTCCCCAGATGTGCCCAGTGCCATGTTCTGCACACTGCAGGCTCAGGAAACACTGGTGCTGTGGAGGTTTTGCTCCGGAAGAGGCTCCTGGGAGTGATCAGAAAGGTAGAGAGTGAGGGTGTGCCCAGCTGCCAGGATGAGGTAGAGTTTCCATTTGCAGATCTGGGTAGAAGGGTGAGATTTGCACAGTTTGAAAGGGGCAGGGCAGTGCTCTTAACCACTGTGCTCTTAATCTCTGATTCAGCAGTTAAGAGCACTGGCTGCTCTTCCAGAGGTCCTGAGTTCAATTCCCAGCAACCACATGTTGGTTCAAAACCATTTGTAATGCGATCTGGTGCCCTCTTCTGGCCTGCAGGGATACATTCAGGCAGAACCTTGTATACATAATAAATAAATAAATAAACAAATAAATCTTTTTAAAAAGGGGAGGAGGAGAAAGGTTTTCTAGGTAGGAGCATGCTTGAAGCTTTGGAGCTCAGGGGCCATCACAGTGACGAGGAGCGAAAGCTAAGAGTCATTGGATGAGCAGAAAAGACTTTGAATACTAAGCTGGGTATCTGTGATGAGTTTGTGGGACAAGAGGGAGCCACTGACATTCTGGAATGGAAGGATCAGTACTAGACTGCAAAGAAGGAAAAAAGAATAGTCTTGGAGGACAGAAGAAGAGGGAGAGATGGAGTGGCCTGAGAGTCTGAGTGGAGGCAGGGTTGTGGGCTGGGAGAGAGAAGCCCTGGGTTTGAGACACTTCTCAGATGGCCTGCTGAGTTCACTGTCACTGAGACACAGTGAATCGGGTGACTTCGAAGGACAGGCGGTAGGGACACTGGGACGGGGAGGTCAGGAGGCTGAGGATGTGGGCCACAGGAGTACTTACCTTTATCACTGGCCTATCAGCAGCTGATCATGTCATAGTCCGCTAGCCACTCTGCCACGTTGGTGAAAGAAGGAATCTGGGGGGACATCTACAGATCACACTGCACAGCATAACCTTGACCCCCAAAGCTGGGTAAAGACTCTACCTACCTTAGACAGAAGCCATAGGTACTCTGACTTTACACTATGTAGCAGAGGAAGGCACCCGCCCCGTCCTTCACACCCTCCGGTGCCTAAGTATCCCCTTCCAGACAGTGTGTGTAGTCTGTTTTGACTCTTGTCTTGATCAAACAAGGTATAAGCACCCCCACGCTTAGGTCCAGGAGCACATAAAACTATGGAAGGAGAGAAAACTTGTAGAACTTTGAACTTCTGACCCCTCTGTTTCAACAAGGTGGCCCTTCGCTCCCAGGAGCTAAACTCCTTCCCTGGGACCTCCATAGTCTTCGTTATTGTGTGTGCCTTTGTCCACCCCCAAGTGTCCTGGCTCCTATTTGTGCCCTGTGTCCTCCAAGTGGTCCTGCTCTTCCTCCAGGTATACTCACAGGGATACTTAGGATGTGCCCTCCGTGCGGGTAAAAAGGAGGAATAGGGACTAGGGAGCTGGCTTGGTGATTAAAAATACAAACCACTCTTCCAGATGGCCTGAGTTCAAGTCCCAGCACCCACATCAGGTGGCTCACAACCACCTGTAACTCCAACTCAATGGGATCCCAATGCCTCTAGCCTCTTCGGGAACCTTCACTCACGTGCACAGATACACAGCGGCACACCAACAAACATATACCGACTCACACAATTAAAAGAGATTTTTAATTTTTTTTTAAAGGAAGGAAGGTTGTGCTGGGACTAAGGACTAAGGAGCCAACTGCACTAGTGAGAAGGCAGAGCCTAGATGTCCTCTGTGGCCTCAGGAGCCTGCTGTGTGGGGCAGGAGGTGCCTGGAAAGAGCTCCTCTCCGCCCACCCTCCACGCTGTCATTGTACAGCGCTGGCCCAGCTACTCCACTCATTCCTCAGGCATTCACCGACTCTGACTCTGTGCCAGGCGTGATGCCAAGAACCAGAAAAGCAAAGATGAATGAGACCTCAGGGAGCTCACGGGGAGGAAGACAAATTGCACACGGTTGTGATTCAGCAGCAGGAGCAGGCTGATGGGAGGACAAGGCGCTACGGGAGCCCAGAGGACAGTACAGCACCCCCTCAAACGTGGGTGGGCTGGAAGACTTCCCAGAGGCGGCACCGTGTAGAGCAGGCAGGATCCATAGGCGCACACCAGGCAGGCAAGCAGGGCTTGGGGGTGGGAGTGGAGGAAGGATGTGCATAGACAGAGAGGCTCCTGAGATTTCTGGGACTTGCAAGTCAGGGTTTGAATGCAATGAGGTGTGGGATGTGTCCATCAGCCGCAGTTAGGGATCCTGTCCTTGGGCCATGCTCCCCAAGAACCCTGTCTCATTTCTGATCATTTTTATGCAGTCAGGCCTTGTCTCAGCTCAGTGTCCTTGGGGTGAGAAAAGCGCCAATTGATGTCTAAATGGCCTCCATATTGGAGACCACTTCTGATGGAATCTGACCGACGCTGCTGATGAATTTGCCTGGGAACATAAATAATTTCTCGACTCACTGTGCCAAAAGAGGGGCTCTTGGGAACTCCTTTCCACCCCTGCCTTCCTGCATAGCTTCAGGAAACAGTGGAAGGAAGCCTTCCTACGACAATGACTGACGGGAAGACCCTGAGTGTAGGGGCTGACCCTTCCTTGTACCCCTCACCCTAATCCTGTCTGTCAAGGCAGTCCCTTGTTGCTTTCTATGCCCAATGGCCTGGTGGCCCCTCACAATTCTTCCTTTAGTCCAGTTATCTTTAGCCTAGATATCTCCCACCCTGCCTGCCTCTCGCTCCTCTACAGGACTTCGCCTCACCGAAACCAGACTAGTCTGGAACCATGGGCAAAATTCCCATGACTCTCTGTTGCTGGGATTGCTTCCTCCTATAGGTTTGTCTTCTGCCTGCACTGCACAGCCTCGGAGGCAAAAATGGAGAGGATGGGGTCCTTGGCCCCAACTCCATGCTGACGTATTTTCAACAGGATTAATAGTGACTCTCAATGACTGGGCATCCCCCATCTGCCCGGCCCTTGTCATTCACATACTTCACCTTTATTAGCTCATTTATTCTCTAGAGCAACCTTGTGAAGAATCAGCTCTGTCATAACTCTATTTTCCAAGTTTAAAAAAAAGGGGGGGGGGCGTTCTGAGAAGTTACTAATTTGCCCAAAGCCTCACAGCTAAGTGGCCAGAGCCTAACTTCATAGTGGTGTAGCCTCTGGTGTTTAGCCTTTCTCTCCAAGCACCAGCCTCTGCGTTGTGGATTATTGTAAACATTTAGCAAATTCCCTGCTGAAAAGAACAAGGAGTCAATTTTTCCCTTGATAATTCTTGGGTTCGTTCCTTCCTTGTACGCACGGGACAGCTAGAATGTGACAGGAATCAGTGGGACAGAAGCCTTAGGCTCAGCCTCTGCCCGGAAGGGCTGAAAGCCGGTCTGCCCGGCCTCCGCAAACTGGGGACAGTGACCACTTTACAGCTTCTCAGGCTCTAGGATGACGCCCCCCACGCACCCCCACCCCCACCCCCGCGCCAGGGAAAGGTATGAGTTCCTTCTGGCTCCACCCCTACAGAGACCAAACGTTGTCAAAGAACCAGCAGAATTGCAGCTTCTGAAGATTCGGGTAGAGGAAGTATGGGTGCGGGGAGTAGGGTGGAAGTGGGGGTCAGAGGGAGGAGGCTGCGAGAGAAGACCTCCCTACACCAGCTCATCCACGATCCTGGGAGAGAGTCCTCCCGCTGAACCTTGGCTGACTGCTGATGTGGCTCACAAGCTAAATCCTCCAGACTGAGGCCAGAGGTGTAAAGCAGAAAGGGGTCCGGCACTACCCCAAACCGGAACCCCAGCGAAGGAGGAGGAGCTGGACTCAGCACTACGATGCCATTAGAACAAAAGGCAGTCCCACGCGCAAACTCTTATGGCCCTCCCTGTCCCCGAATGCTCCCTCTCTGGCCTGCTTGCGACGCCTTAACCCTCACCATTAGAATCTCCCTGCAAAATATTTTCAAATTCCAGGCAGCTTTTGCTTCTAAACCTTTTGAGATAAGATGCCTCCTTAGGT